CTCGATAATCACTTCTCAGCAATTATTTATTACAGTTTAACATTATAAAATTAACAAAAATAATATAAAACTCATATTCTGGCGAAATAGCCATATGGCAGCTGAAAACCGTATATTCCCTTCTTGTTCTCCAGCCCGTTCGTACATTCTTTCCAAAAATCGGGACTTTTTAAAAACGCCGTGGGGCGCGGGACAAATTGTTGAAAGGCGGGACTGTCCTGCCAAAATCGGGACATCTGGTCACCCTAAGTATATACTTTACGTTATCAAACGGATCAAAAAATTTGGAGCATAAATATGCAGGTGTATATAAAAATTCCTCACAAAAAGAATCATAGTTCATGTTTTGGAATTTTTCTTTCCATTTTATTTCTATTCTTTACCTTTCAAAAACATCTATTGACACAGTAGTTATCAGATTCTTTATGCAGTTTTTTAATCTTGCTTTTCAAATTTACCAGAGTTCTAAAAACATCTCCATGGCCGAAACTGCACAAGTACTTAAAACATTTTCTGATCAGTCATCACTAGCCAGCCAATGAAAACCAAAGATAAGCAGCATGAGATTTTATTAACTTGGGCAGGAGGAGGAAGGTATTCCAGCCGGATCCTTTCGCACTTGCCAGGTTCAAACATGGCGGGCCACAGCCAGCCCTCGTAGTACACTCGGCTCGCTTTCCCACAACCCCGCCAGGCTTCGGCGCCTTCTTTTTTCACCTTCCTTCCCCTGGGGTAGTTCCAGGGGCTCAGCACCCTGCAGCGTGACAGCGGACCGGCTTCCCGCCCCCACGCGAGGGCCCGCCCACCAGTTGCGTCAGCCAATAGGAGGCCGCGCAGGGGCGGCGGGCGGTGCAGCCCGGCCCCACCCTCCAGCCTCGCTGTGGCCTGCGGCTCCCGGGCGAGTAGCGCCGCTCGCGGTCGAGCTTACTGATCTGCTGTGTGGAACCGCGAGTCTAGGGTGCTTGTCGCCGGCTACAGCTCAGCCCAGCGCCGCCGACGCCGTCGGCCCCCAGCCTCCACCATGGACTTCGAGGACGGTAAGCGCTGCCTGTGGCTGGTCTGTGGGCTGGCGGGAGGGGAGTTGGCCGGCGCTGGGGGTCTGTTTACCGTCTCAAGATGGCCGTGTGGGCTTTGTTCTGTGGGCCTGAAGGCCGCCCGCCCGCCGCGGGCCCAGCGCCCGGAGTTGGCCTCTTTGGGGGCCCTGTGCGCCCAGATTCGGCCCCCCCGGCGCCTGCTACCCGCGGGGACCTGGGAACTCCCTGGCGGCGTCAGTGCCGGGAGGGACGCGCCCGGAGCGCGAGGGCCGCAGGGCCCGGGCTCCGGACTCGCCCCGGCCGGGTGCGGGGAAATTGCCCCGACGCCTCCCACTTCCCGGTGTGGGGCAGAGGGACGAACCGGGCCTCACCCACCTCGCCTCGCGCTCGCCCTGCAGGGCAGCGCCCGCGTCGTGGGTTCAGTTAATCCCCAACCCCAGCTTACTTCTTCCCTAGTACAATTCTCAGAGGCTTGTTGGCGACGGTGTTTTTGATTGTGTTAGTTTAAGGTGAGTTTAAAGGGCGTCTGTAAGCGATTTGTATAGCTCGGCTTCTATACAGAGCGGAAAGTAGGTATTTCCTTTTAGCGGACTGGGAAATTTACCCACACAACCCACTTGATTGTTCATCCCTAGCAATCTGTAACCAGAGTGCTTTTCTTTGGGTTGTGTGTGGATAAGATTTAAGTCAGGCAGAATGTTGGCAGAGCAGGCATCAAATGCCCTTCACAGCCAGACCTGTGCACCGCCGCCCGTGTGGGAGTTACCGATTAAATAGACTGTATTTCAGCTGTACCTTTCCAGTCGTCTCTGATACTGGATCGTTAAATCATTTTCACAGGCTCACAAAGTAAAATTAATCTGGTTTTCAACTTGACTTCAAATCTTGTCCAAGTTTTCATAGGAATTTATACCAAGATAAAATGGTGTGGAGTGACCAGCATTAGGGAGACCTGGGAAAGGGCTTGTATGATTAAACTGGGCTTAATCCCGGGTAACCAGGCACTGCTAAATAAAACCAGTTCACTAAGTAGTTGTAAGCCTCTAACCGCACCAAAAAATTATTTTTAGCTTTAAATGAGGTGTGATCTCTGCATATGTCTTAAAGAAAGAGCTTTTGGTTGTTGACATGACTTTATGCTACAAAGAGTTAAAGCTGTCAAATCTTAAGTTTATGAAAGGCGAATGGAATAACCCCTTTGTGATTACTTTTCGGTTACTTTGAAATAAGAATTTGTAGTTTGTTTTTTTTTTTTTTAAATTTTTAGTTCTTAAGAGTAGCACACTCTGGTGTTTTTGTTTGTTTTAGTTGGACTTTGGCTCATTTTGATGGAGATACCTTTTAAACTATGAATGTTTGAAGTGGCTAGAATTGGGAATGAAGATAAACTATTATTATGTTTTGAGCTAAAGTTTGATGGCAGTACCAACAGGCAAGGTGCAGCCCACGCTAACTAGGTAGAAGAGCAGTTCTCTCCCATCCCCCAAGGCAATAAGAGAATCCATTTTCTGTAGATAATTCAAAGCTTAGTAGGTGTTTTTTATTATTGGCATATGCCTGCGATTCTAAACTGTGTCAGTGGTAAAACTAAATGTCAGTGATAAAATGTTCCCTCTCACTGCCCATCCTCAACCAGTGTTGTATTTGGAAGATGGAATTTGACTGACATTGTATCTAAATCAAATCCAGCATGACCATTGCATTACATTCAGTACTTGCAGTTATTTGTAAAATTAACTAAAGGATTTAACATTTGTTACATTTTGACAAGAAAATTGGCGATGTAATTTTCAGTGATGCCATATTTTGGATGGATATAGCACCCTTATTATGTACATACATGCATATGTATGGCTCGGATAAGATCTTGATGTCTTTAGCGAGCAAATGAAGTGGTAAAAGAAGTACTTAAAGAAATCTTCTGTTACATCAAATCAATTCTCAAGGCTCTGCCTTTGCATTTATGTGTTTCATAATTTACTCTATCTGCCTTCCTTTTTGTTACTCAGTACTAATTAGTACTGGATCCCCTCTATTGGCTATTTTTGTATATCAGGTGTTATAAACTAATTCTTACATTACCATAACTTGGATAATAAACCTGCCATTTGAGAAGGTAGTGAAGAAAAAAAAAAGATAGGTGTTTTCTCAAATGGGGTATTGGTTAGTTATTCGTGCCCCATTTTTGCAGATGATTGAGTTAATAGCATTTAAAAATTGTGTTTGTTATTGACTAGATGGATATATAATTTTGGGTTTTTGCTAATATTGGCCTAATTTCTTTTTGTTAAATGTGTCTTCATAGATTACACACACTCTGCTTGCAGGAATACTTACCAGGGCTTTAATGGTAAGTATCTTCTTTCATTTTACCTTAAATTTGTCAAGGGAATAATTTCAGTTTTTCTTTATTATTTGTATTTTGGATTGACATAAGGGTACAAACGATTAGGTTACACTGTTTGCATTTGTTAGGTAAAGGCTAAGTTGTTATTGAGCCCCTTACCCAGGTGGTGTGCCATATACTCCTATGTTGTCCCCCTTAGGTGAGAACACACCAGACCCCCTCTCTCCTTCCCGCTTACTCCTCTTTCCTACTACTGGTTTCATATCAGCAATGTTTCTCTTCCTCCCCATAAAAATAAAGTATCACTGTAAAAGGCCAATTTTACCTATTTTAGTCATTGTTTTGGCTCTTGATATTTCTCTTCTCAGTGTTAATGGTGTTATACTATATTACTATTTGAATTTGGGATTAGAAGAAATTAGGAGTTATTCAGACTAGTTTGATTTTTTTTGTATTGAATGGTAACTATGTACATTATTTTTTTATTTTTATTTTTTTTAAGAGACAGAGTCTCACTTTGTTTCCCTCTGTAGAGTGCTGTGGTGCCACACAGCTCACTGCAATCTCCAACTCCTGGGCTTAGGCAGTTCTCTGCCTCAGCCTCCCAAGTAGCTGGGACTACAGGGTTTGATTTTTTTTTTTTTGTCTGTGAAAAGAATTATGATTCTTTTAGTTTCTCCAAAAGGCCCTGGCTGCATTCTGAGTGATGAGTTTTACAAGACACTGGCTGCGTTCTTTTGTTGACTTAGAGGCTTTGGTAAAATTGATTAATATAGATTAAGTGGATGACTGGCTTGATTCTGTATAGCTTATATTGTAGTGCATTTTAACTTTGTTTTTGAGGTCATTTTCCTCAGTGTGTCTAAATGTCTTAATATCTGAAGCATTGTCTAGAGGAGCACGCGAAGAAGCCTGATTATTTATTGATAAAAAATGTGATATTAAGCTAGATAGAACTATGAAATGTAGGCAGAATACAACTGGATGTCTTTTTGATAGTATTTGAGTTAACGCCCTGCCAGCTATGATAATAACACACATAAAAATGACACAGAATGATGTTAATTCATAGAATGATGTCACCAAAATGACAATTCAGAGATTAAAAAAAAATTATATGAAGGACATTAAATATTCTGATTGCCAGAGAAATGCAAAAGCCGACTATTGTACGGAATAGAATCTATTTACAAAGTAAAACCTGAAGCAAATGTACTACCAAAGAAGACAATGTCATTTTATGAGAATAATTACTGTAGAGTTAATTTTTATTTTTACAGATGAAGAGAAATTTAGGATTTAATATAGGCTAAAAAAGCTCAAATATAGGAAGTAGTTAATATATATTAAGTGAGTGCTGAAAAATATGTTTTTGAGCAGGAAAGTGATGTAATAAAATTACTAAAGGCAGTTTAATTTGCATCTACATGTATATTAGATTGAAAACTAGAAAGTCAGCTAGAAAGCCATTTTATGAATTTAGATGTAAGGATTTTAAGATCCTGAACTTGGCGAGTGACAATAGTAATTTAAAAAATATTAAGGTGGTTTTTAGAGAAAATGAGCAGAATGTGCAGGCAGACTACTAATGGGTAGAAAATTGAGAGGGTTGAGTAAAGAGGAATCTAGCATTTTAAACTGGAGTAAGAAATTTTAGCAGAGATAGGGGGAGAGATAGAGAGAGGGACAGAGTTTTGGAATAGTAGAGGGCCATGACCTCCAGTAGGATATACTGGAGAGCTGGATTTAATGTCTAAGCATAGGACTTGAAATACAGAATTATACAGAGCCAGAAGTGTTTGTCCTTATTAATGCACAGTGTTGCAAAAAGATCTAATGTTATGACTTTTATTTTTTATTTTTATTTTTATATATTTTTTGAGACAGAGCCTCAAGCTATCCCCTTGGGTAGAGTGCTATGGCATCACAGCTCACAACAACCTCCAACTCCTGGGCTCAAGCGAGTCTCCTGCCTCAGCCTCCCAAGTAGCTGGGACCACAGGCACCCACCACAATGCCCAGCTATTTTTTGGTTGCAGCCGTCATTGTTGTTTGGCAGGCCGGGCTGGATTCAAACCCACCACCTTATGTGTATGTGGCTGGTGCCTTAGCCACTTGAGCCACAGGTGCTGAGCCATGACTTTTATTTTTTTCCTCCTAATTTTAGTTTTAAGAATCGTCCTTATCTGAGGGTGATTGTTAGAATCATCTGGGAAGCTGGAGCTTTTCCAAAGTCTGTCTGTTCAGGTCATATCCCAGATCTCTTGAGTCTAAATTTCAGGGCCAGTTAGTGATCCCTGGTTGTGTGTATTGTGTGAAAGCACTCTGACTTTTGGAATGCACCTGTGGTTAAAGACCACTCCTTGACAATACTTTGAGGTTTAGGTTATTAATATTTTACAAATGAGGAACTTAACTTCAGGACTTGATTTGATTGACTTTATTCCACAAATATTTGTTTAGTGCCTACTTGTATTGTTTTAAGAGGTAGGAATATACCAGTGAAAACATGGACAAATATTCCTACCCTTTTGGAGTTTCCAGTCTAGTGGGTGAAATAGGGGTAAGCAAGGTAAAGAAGCGACATACATTGTATGTTATATGTTAATAATTGCTAGGGAGAAAAATAACATAGGGAAGCGGGACAAATATATGTGTGTGTAATTTTAGAGTTTTGGGTGAAGAACTCACCAGAAAGATGGCATTTGAGCATAAACTTTAAGGGAGGTGAGTGTGCAAGCTATGAGGTTGTCTATAGGGAGTCTGTTACAGGGTTAGTAAATAAAAGATGTGTGGATACCAAAAAGCCCTAAATACACTTCATTGTTAGCATTGTGTTTTCCAGTACCTGAAATGAAATTGAAGTTTTTAGAAGATGCAGATTTTCTTCCCACTACATCTTGGAAGGAAGTTATACTTCCAGTGTCTCCATGTTTTATTTTTTTTCCTTCTTTCTTCTTAATACTTTTTATGCAAACAGCAGATAGACAAAGGGAGAGCATTCCAGATAGCGGGAACAGCAGAAATACAGTTAGGGTTGAGCACATTGTACTGCAGAGAGACTTAAGAAGACTGGCTCGACTAGATAAGATGATTTTTTTTTTTTGAGACAGAGTCTCAAGCTGTGGCCCTGGGTAGAGTGCTGTGGCATCACAGCTCACAGCAACTTCCAACTCCTGGGCTCAAATGATTCTCTTGCCTCCGCCTCCGAAGTATCTGGGATTACAGGTGCCTGCCTGGCTATTTTTTGGTTGCAGCTGTCATTGTTGTTTGGCGGGCTGGGGCTGGATTTGAATTCTCCAGCTCAGGTGTATATGGCTGGCGCCTTAGCCACTTGAGGCACAGGTGCTGAACCAAGAGCAGATGATTTTTGCTGAGCAATCTTAAGGGAAGGTTAGAGTGATGAGGTGTAGCCAGAAGGTGTTGAAACGAAAGCTAATTTGCATATATATAAGAAGGAGTAGAAAGCAAAGACCTGAAAGAATTGAGGTAGTGAACAGTGCAGTGGGAACAGGGGAAGAGCATTCCAGACACAGTGAGTAGCAGGTGCAAAAATAGGTTTATACCATATACCGGCTGTATTCTAGGAACAGCTAGGGCCTAATGTGGCTGGAATGGAATAAATAAGCATGTGTAGTAGATAATGATGTTGAGGTGAGAGGGAGATCATATAGGGCAGAGTTTCTATTTTTGTGCTCTATTGGAATTTTGGACTGGATAATCTTTGTTGTAAGGAGATGTCCTCTGCATTGTAGAATGTTTAGCAGCATCTCTGGCTTGAGTGCACTAGATGGCAGCAGAACCTGCTGTCTAGTTGATAACCAAAAATGTTTTCAGACATTCATTGCCCCTGTCTCCTGGGGACAAAACTACCTGTGGTTAAGAACTACTGGTGTAGGTCTTTAGAGATTATTTTAAGGCTTTGGCTTTTACTTGGAGTAAAATGGGAAGCCATCGGAGGGTACTGAGCATTGGACATGATTTAACTTATATTTTATCAGAATTATTTTGATAAAATAAATAGGGAGCAAAAGTAGAAGTGGAAAAATGTCAGGAGGCTGTGTAATAATCTAGGTGATAGATGCTAGTAGCCTGCATTAGGGTGCTGGAAGTGTAGAGATGGTGAAAAGTAGTCCCATTTAAGACTTAATGCCACACATCTAATTAGTTATTTTGGTCATAAGTCAGTTTTTTTCTCACTACTCTACAGTTATTTCCTTCTGTTTAGTTGTAACGAAGTTTTAAAATTTTTGTGTTTATTATTTATGTGATAGATCCAAGTGATGAAATAGATTTGATTTAAATTATTAAATCAGTTTTGTTTTTCTGAGTAAATTACTTTCTTAAAAGTTTTTTTTTATTTTGAGACAGAGTCTCACTTTGTTGCCCTTGGTAGAGTGCTGTGGCGTCATACCTAGCTCACAGCAACCTCAAAGTCTTGGGCTTAAGTGATCTTTTTGCTTCAGCCTCCCGAGTAGCTGGAATTGTAGGCACCTGCCACAAGGCTCAGCTATTTTTTTTTTTTTTT